CATTAAAATATCATCTTATTCCCTGCAGACACTGCTTTGGAAACCCTGTGGATATGCAGGACATGCTGAGAAATTATGCAGGAGATTAGAAGAAAAGCTACATTTCTAAGGTGTCCTCTGCACCGAAAGGCACCACCACACTCAACTCCACCCTACTCCTGGAAGCCACTTTAGAACTGCTAGGGAGGAGCTCCTGTGACCATTTTTCAGTGTGAAAGCTCCCTTGTTTCACAGCCTGAGCTGACTTGGTTTACTTTGTCTGAAACACAATGGGAATGATAACGAGTACTTCTCTTGGCTTGCAGAGAGGGAGGGAAAGAACAGAGAAGTGAGAGATGCTGCAGGCAGGTCTTTGAGAAGGACTTGTTTCCCACTACCGCTCTCCTTCTTCATTTCCCAAATATTCTTTTTCCGTTTATCTTTCCTATGAGGTGAAGTGGACAGAGCTTCAGGGAAATCACTGGAGTTAAACTGAGATCACACAAATGTGAAGGAGAGGAGAAAGCAAACATCCACTGCTGAACCAGGGACAGCATGTGAAGTTTATGCTACAGGGTCAGGGAAAACAGTCTTTGAAGTTAATCTGTGCTTAATATTTACTGGCAAACATGCTGCCAAACTATTTAAGGCCAGATTACCTTCAGATTGATTCAAGATCATGTCAGAACAAAGCAGCAAGTGTGGATTTCCCACTGACTTCTATAACCATGGTCTTCTCTTGCCCAAAGGTACCCATCTCAACTAGGCAGGGTGAGTGCCAGAGGGTCACACACAGCTCAGCTTCTGCTGTGGATGCACCTGAGCACTGACTGTTGGGCAGTGGGTAGAATCACAGAATCATAAGAGTTGGAAAAGACCTCTAAGATCATCTAGTGCAACCACTAACCCAGTACTTCCAGGTCCACCACTAAACCTTGTCCCTAAGCACCACATCTACAAGATTACAAGAACCTTCCCCAGACACTGGTAGGCTTATTTTTGTCTTGGCCCATGCATGGACTGTTGTTGCTTTACGGATTCAAAGGGCACAAGTGATGTGTTAGAAAGCTGGGGAAAAGAGACCAGGATCCACCTGCAATGTGCCTTGTCTGGATTCCAGCTGCTCCAACAGAAATGGAGAGGCACTGATTACAACCTCAGCTATTCAGAACATATGTGATTATTTATGCAAGAAGACTGATGAAAGGCAAACTTTAGGGGCAGATTTCTCAAAAATCAGAGTTTTGCTATGTAAAACAAACCCCAGGCTGATGGCACCATAAACAGAAGCCGGCGTGGGGCAGGCCGTCTGCCTGTCTGTCTGGGCATTGTTATTGCATCCATCACCCGTGCGTGCCAGGACCAGATTTCCGAAAGGAGTTAAACATGTGGCTTTTGCGGAGATCAATGGGGATTAGGCACTGAGGTGCTTTGAAATCCTGATAGGTAGGCTGTGGAGTGTTTGGAGAGCTAGCTGCTGGTCCCTCAGGTCTCCAGAGACTCTGGAGTATTTAGCTGCAGCAACTGAACTTCCGGAGATGGCTTTGGTCCTGTGTCCAGGCTGTTGAAGGATAGTGAATATCCCAACTCCACCATGCAGGGAAGCCCCCTCTGCCATTATTTTACTAAATAATGTTGTATGAATCATACAATCTGGAGAGGGAGTTTTCATGAAATCATAGAACAGGGAAGAACAGCCTTAAGCTGAAGGAGTACAGGTTCAGATTGGGTATTCGGAAGAAATTTTTTAGACTTAAGGGTGGTGAGGCACTGGCACAAGTTGCGCAGAGAAATTGTGGATGCCTCATCCCTGGAAGTGTTCAAGACAACATTGAATGGGGCTTGGAGCAACCTGGTCAAGTGAAAGGTTCCCTATCCATGTCAGTGGGGTTGGAACTAGATGATCTTAAAGGTCCAAATAATTTTGGGATTCTATGACTCTTTATTAAACCCATGAAATTTTTCTGTGCTGCTTCCTGTGAGGCAAACCCTTAGAGCAGCCTACTACAGAGCTGAGCTGTAATTTGGCCTTTCAGAGCTCACAGTAAGAGGGTTTATTTAATCTTTAAACTCAATGATCCTAAAATCAACCATGCTCCCTGGATGTAGTTTGGGCCAGAACAGAAGAAACTTGAATTCCTGCAATGTCTCTAACTAGGGATGAATTAGGAACATGCTGGAGAACCGATCATGGGAGTCTGGCACTAAGGCTGTTGCCACGATGTGTTTTGCTCCTTCCAGAAAATGACTGAACCCTACTGTTGGGTTTCAGGATTCCAGCAGTCAGGTAATCAGTTTTCTGCTCTACTCTCCTGCACTAAGTTTGCTGAATTGGGATGATGAATGCAAGCTTCGGCATCAATTTCCTAGTTGGGAATTAACTGGGGTTACTCTAATGAAATCTCTGAATGTGAGCAGTCAAGACAGTACATTCAGTGACACAACTCTTTGTAGGAGCAAACAAAATTAATCCACCGGGATCAGAATACCTTGAACACCATAAGGAAGAGCCTCCTATGACCTACAAAACAAAAGGATGTCTTACTCTCACACATGCTCGGCAGGAAATGGAAGAAGTGTCCCCTACTGGTATGGTCCATTTCTACCGTGTTACCTGCACACACGGCAATGCTGGTAAAGCATCACTTCAGCAATGGGGTTTTATGCTTGTCAGTGCTAAAGCAAACCGGGCCATGACACAGACATATACGGAATTACCATCAACAGAACAATTTGCCATGCAGGGAAATTACACAAGGACAAGGGGAATGCTTTCCACGTACTTAATGTAATTCCAAGTCAATGTCCTTTCATTTGTGCCAACATAACTAGCTTATTACTCCTGCTAAAACCATTCAATTTTCCTGGGTATTCACAGCTTTGCCAAATCTCCTTTACATTCTACACATTTGTCAGTGAAATATTCTGTAGGAAATAGTGTTTACAGCTTCAGAGGCAGGAGACTATGTACAAATTTGTTTTTAAATCACCATGCAAGGAGATGAGGATGGGGGAAAGTGAAAAGAAACAGAGCTGCTTCAGCACTTTAAGTGTCCAAGAATGATTCCGAAACCAAGGCAGAACTGCAACAGGAAGGTAGCAGCACATGAAATGAGAGTGTGCACCAGTAAAATCTCAATGCTGACTGCATTGCAGTACTGGCCTTCCCCATGACAACATTTATACTTAGAGTGAGGAATACTACAAATAAATTTAATTACCATGAAAGATAAAAGCTTGTTGTTCGAAAACAGTCCAGGCATATCAGCTGTGTGGAGAATTATCATATACTGAACTAATGGCATTTTGGTTTTACAGCAGAACTAATAAAATGGCACTAAGGGGATGAATCAGGCTTATTTTTTTTTTTCCCTGCATAAATAAATTCCATACAAAACTGTCCCCTGGATTTGGAGCTTTTTGCTGAGTTTTTTATTTAAACTCTTTAATGAATCTGTGCTGCTTTCCAAATCAAACTGCTTGAATAAAAGTCTATAAAATAATATTATGGAAACAGGATTTCAATTAACACAGGACTGTTCTCTTTTCATTTTAAAGTCATTTAAGAAACATGGGTTTTTCAATCCCTTTCTCAGGAAAAGAAATGAAAGCTGCTAGGGACATCAACAAGAAAGCAGAATGCAACACCTAATGAGACAGAGGAAGTTTTGAAAGCTAGATATTTTTCATTAGGGGGATGCATGTGGAGACCATAATGTGATAGGGTGACATTAGCATAAATAAGTAGATAGGTAGAATTGAGCCACAGATATGGTTTGTACCATTATCCTAATGCTGAAATTAAAATACTGAGATCAGGCTTCATTTCCTGTCTTTGCGTGTGCAAATGCACCTGGTCTTCAAGCAAGGGAAGTGATGTCTCATATAACTAAGCTGCTAATCCACACAATAACTATGCTGATATTTGCCCAGGTATTGCTAGTGGTTAGTCTTGATGAAGTGTGATTTTTAGCTATCATGACACAATGAAAGTAACATTGAGGTAAATTTTCTTGTTTTTAAAAGAAGCTGATTAAAATAAAATTACTAAAGGAGAATTTTCATTCTGGAACAATTATTTTAAAGTCAACTGATTTTTTTCAGGTCCACACAGGCATTATTGATAATAGAACTGGATTCACTAATTTAGTTTTCTATTAATATAGAATAAAAGGTATCTGGGGAGTTTAGGGTTACTGATTTAATAGCATGACTACGGAAGGGGAACTGAAGAGGCTGAATGCTTGACAATCAGAAAGAAGGAAGAGGGGAAAAATGCATTTAGTAGTTAAGTGAGAGAAGGAAAAAGGTGAAGCCAAGGCAGTTCATTAATGACGCTGCAAATTGCTTAATATGAGAACTGAAGCTCTTTGCATGATTTAGGCATATTGTTGGCTTCTTATTAATAATAGCATCCATAATAAGAGACATGACAGAAAGAGCTCACAAGTAGTGCCAGTGCATGAGGAATATACAAGCAAAGTGAGAGGGAAGCGAAATGGTTAGAAAGGTAGCAGAATAGACAAGGGATAAGCAAGACAGAGTTAAATACCAGCCAGAAATCATCTGTCTGCAGTTTCCTCTTTTATACTGACAAGCAAAGTGACAGTACAAATAATGCAGCAAATAAAAGGAAAGAAAACTTAAAATCAGATGCATGTCTCTAAAAATGCTATCACCATAGTACAGAGGAGTCTTGGCAGCCACAGAAAGACCTCTCAAGAGAGGTGAAGTGGGATGTTTTCAAAAAATGCTTCTAGCTGACATTTGAAGGCTTGTCGAACACCACATAGGTGTACTTCATGTCTGATAATAAAAAATATATATAGCCATGTCACCAACAAATGAAAGGACATATTGTCTTGTTCCCACATGAAAATGTATGATGTCAGAATTTGAAATCCAAGAACAAAGGTGCTCATGCTACACTAGATCACACATATTCAATTAAGCATGCGCCTTTTCTCCTCCCTGATCATCAATTATTCTCTTAAAAGGAGTCGAGTTTTCTTTCTCCCTACCAATAGTGCAGTGCTCTCCATTCCAGCCCGGGCTGCATTCACACTTGCCATCCCGGCAGGTCCCGTGCTCATTGCAGCGCGGGTGACACGCTCGCTGATCACAGGCTGTGCCCATCCAGCCCTCCTCGCAGCGGCAGGTGCCTCCAACACAAACGCCGTGTCCTCCGCAGTCCGCTGCACAAATCTCTGTGGGAGAGGAGACAACAGACAGGAGGGGATATGGGTGGAGAGAGAGAAGGGAGAGGGGGAAAATCCGGAGTGTTATTGTCAAGAAAAGCAGACACACTTCACTACCTCGCCTTACTGGGCAATGAAAGGAATTCCTAGAGCTCATAACACTAATCCTTCCTGACAATAAGAATCTAATAAGTATATTACAAAAAAGAGATGGACATGGATTGCAAGGGTCTGCTGTGATTGATCCTCCTATTTGCTTTCTAATTCTCTTGCACTCCTCAAGCTTTTGTGATGCTCAAATCCAAAGGGGAAGGCTCTTCCAAAAAGCAGAACGGAAGTCACATTTAATTAAAATCTGGTTAAGTGTGGAAACAATGTGCTGATAAACTACTGATGCTAAAGTTACATGCTGGCAAAGCATGATTATGACTTTTAAGCCACGGTTTTGGGGATGGGATTCATTAAAATCCTTATTCTCTGTTTAAATTTATGAAAGGATATTTCTATTTCTACCAAATCTGCACATCCTGTATGTCCCTATTCTCCTACTACCCATTAAAAATCCCCTCTCAGACATTCACAGGTACAACTGTATCTTTCGCGAGCCACATGCACTGGAGCTGACAGGATGGTGCTTCTTCCCAAGTCTTACCAAAGTTAATGGAAGCACGGTCACAGCCAGATATTTTGGTACTTACCGCCAAAAAGCAAAGAGCTAAAGGACCTTGCCTTTTCAGGGATGATGGCCTTCCCAAACCTCCCTGAGCCCCAGCAGGCCTGAGGACATAGGCATAATATTTTTATCCAGCACTAGACTTTTGTCTAAAACCTGGCATAGCCTTGGCATGAATTTGGGAAACATGTTTTTATCTACATTGTACCTGTCTGGAAAAACAGAGACTTGGTGGAGAAGAGATACCCATGAATCAGGTGTTAAAGTGCGTGTTACCACCACTACTATACAGGACTGATTTCAAGGAAAAAAACCAAAGCCCAAATACTGATGCAGTGTAGCACTGCAGATGAAATGAAATGAATCTATTTCTTCTCCAGACTCATTACTTGGCTGCTACTTTCCATCTCTCATAAGCCCTGACTATACTCTCCCTTCCTCAACTGAAGGAGAGGCAATTCACAGTATTTCAGCCTATGAGGTCTTCTCTCTGACTTCTGCCTGGCACTTCTAAATTCTCAAATGTTTTGACCTCAAGCCTTCAGCTTCACTGAGCCATTTTATAGATTTTACAAGGTAAGGACACAGTTCCTTTTGGGGATATGGAGAACCGAACAGAAGAAATGCTGAGCAGAGCTGGTCTGGAAGCACAGAAAGGGGTACCAGGGTACTCTGCAGTGCACATTTTTTCTCTGTGTCACTGGCTGCATATAAAATATTCAAAACTACTCAGCCTGCATTAACATCACACCTGACTGAAATTCAGCTGTACTTAAGTTGCTTTTAGTCTTTTGCAGAAGAATACTCCATTTATAGGACACTTGGGCTGTTCAACAACTTTTGATATGCTCCTGATATAGGGCTGGAACCCCCACTTCAGCTCCAGGAGGAAAGATCCTCACAGCTCCACCACAGCAGAGAGCTGTGAGGTCTTCAGCCCCTTATGAGGAAAAGGATCAGAGTGTTCCTTGGAGAACGGTAATTTATGATAAGAACAACAGTAATGCCTGGCATGCCTAGAAACACCTCATTTTTCAAATGTGGCATGAGAACAACTTTTAGCTCTTGCTTCCCAAAAAGCTCAGGGTGGCAGAACCGCTTCCAGTAAAACTCCTTTTACTGTAGCATCACGGATGTCTCCAAACCCCTTCAAACATTTACTCCTATATGCTTAAGTCTCTTAGTGAAAGAGAACTCTGGAGTTCAATTGGGCTAAAGGCACTCAGGAACTTGTCTGCATCATTTAGAATAAAACTTGCTGAAGTATTTGGGTATCTTGGCTACTTAAACAGAGCATGTGTACACACCACTTGCTGTTGAGATGTAACAGAATACAATGTAGGATTTATTGGAAGCAAATAGAAATTACCCTATCAAACAATAAAGGCATGGCTGAGGAAAGGCTCGAGTTGCTGTCAGAAGTTTTTACTTTGCATCTGGCATCGAGAAACAGATTTTCACAGCTCCTAACTGCGAGGGAAGTAATATCATACTACAGTACCCGATAAGAGCATAAGGGATGGGGAATTATTGAAACCCATCCTTGCTGAAGGGCTGGAGTCCAGACATGTGTTTCTACTTTTTTCCCCAACTGCCAGACAGCACTGCAATGGAGCGTGGGCTGGTCAGGGTGGTAATGAACACACATAACCTGCAAGTTGGTTAATAGAGCAGTAAAGATGGACTAAAAAAAAGGTAAATTTGGTTCGCCTTGGCTGACCTGATAAAGTCTAGGGGAGGATAAAGGAAACAGCAGATTAAAAATCAAAAGCTAGATTTATGCTGCTAAAATTTCAGCAAGCTGACAAGAAATACCTTGAGAAAAGTATAAAGTCTGAGAGTACTGGTATTTAAACCTGAACTTCAAAAATGATTATTGTAGCCTCTGGTGCTTTCCAGCATGCTTTTACCATAGGGCTACTCAGACTGCAATCTCTTCTCAGGTTATTAGTTTACATTCTTTATTCATAAGCATTGAACTTGGATCTCAGAATATAAAATAAGATGTAATTTTTCTTGCTCCCAGTTTACCAAGCAATCCAGAGGATGCCAACTTGGTCACTTCACACCTTCATTATATCCTGTTCTTCCTCTTTGTAAAAAATTCTTCCTTATATCTAGTCTAAATCTACCCTCTTTTAGTTTAAAACAATTATTCCTCTTCTTATCACTGCAGGCTCTATTAAAATATCTCTCCCTATTGTTCTTATAAGTCCCTTTTAAGTAGTAAGAAGGCCACGATAAAGTCTGCCCAGAGCTTTCTGGCCCCCATGCTGAACAACCCCAACTATCTCAGTCTGTTCCCATAGCAGAGGTTCCTCAGACCTCTGATTATCTTTGTGGCTTCCTCTAGACTTGCTCAAACAGGTCCATATCCTTCTTGTGTTGGAGACTCCCACAACTAGGTCCCAGAGCTGAACACAGCACTCCAGTGGGGTCTCACAAGAGTGGAGGAGCAGAATCCCCTTCCTTGCCCTGCTGGCCACACTGCTTTGGATGCAGCCCAGGGCACTACTGACTTTCCTGGGCTGTGAGAGCACATGGCCAGGTCATGCCCAGCTCTTTGTCCATCCCAAAGTCCTTCTCCTCAGGGCTGTTCTCAATCCCTTATCCCAAACCTGTATGGATACCCAGGGTTCCCCTGACTCAGATGCAGCACCTTTCAGATAAAGTAATCAAAGCATAAAGAAGGGAAGTGATGGATCCACAGGTAAATGTGAACTCTGAGAGAAGCACGTGAATGTCTTGATGTCCCAATATGCACTCTTGTGCCCTACAGCTAATATGGAAATGTCAGATGTCTACAGATTGGTGCCGAGGAAAAAAACCCAGAGATAATAGTAACAGTGACAGTCAGAAGCCTTCCTGGAGTTATTTAAAGGTGTCAAACTAGGATAAGGGAGTGCATTCAGAAATGGTGAGAGAGAAAAAAAATCATGTTCTGAAAAGCAGAGTCTCTGTGCAGTCATTCCTATGAAAAAGAATGGAAAACCCCCTGGGACATTTACATATTGACTGAAATATTTCTCAGGCAACATGCTGCCAAGGAACAGTCTTGCACACGTGGGCCAGGGATATGCACTTCATGGTATAAACAAACAGATCTTAGGCTAAGCCAGAAAGGGAATGCTGAGAACCTTTTGGGTTTCATCCCCACCTAGCTGAGACCCCAGCAAACCACCACACAGAAGTGTGCAGGTTCCAGGTTATGAAAGTGTAATTCATATATAACAGATATATGAGGTGGTTTGGACTCCCAGGCCCCAAGGGCTGTAATGCAGACTCTCAGCTGTGAAGAACACTTGTGAAACAATCTACTTAGGACAGTCTCCCTAAAATGTAGTTTAATTATTTCTGATAGGGAACCAGGAACCAGGAACTCCCAAAACTATATCTTGCACTTAGTGCCAGTTTAAAGATAGATGGGTACCTACAATTTAAATAGCCTTGCAACACACAACCTGCTACATGCCCTGGTTCTTTACAACACAGCCTTCTTAAGTGCGCATAGGTTTCTAATGAGTGATTAAATAGTCAGAATAGCTTTTACTTTTCTTTTGACATACTAAGAAATGATCAAAATGGATTTCAAATTAAGCTTCCACTTAAATACATGTCTTTTTGGACAGAAAAAGACAGCTAAGGCTGTTTTACAGAAAAAGGGCAGGTGAATAGTTTCTTTGTCATTCAGTCCCAGGGACAGAATTTGTCACCTTTGTTCTTATTACAAACTGCATTTTTTGGTACATTAAATTCTGTTGTTAAAATTAGAGGACATGATTAGCTACCATCTGAGCTGCATGAACAAATGAGAAGGAAAGCTTTTAATTCTGCTGTTACAGTATTCTCAGACTGGCCAGCTGCACTATATTGATCCTGCCTATTTAAGCTTAGTTAGAACACTCTGCCTGTGCATAAAAGACCTGCCTGTTAAATATTTTCACACCAGCTGTTCCCAAAAGGTGACCAAATATTTCCTTTCATCTTTAATCTCATCCAGTGTTTGTATGAACAGCTTAGCCACTCCTTATCCTTTCCTAGAGGTGCACTGGTTTACCTCATTCCACAGTGTAGCTCTCAAAGCTGCTTGTAGTTCCTTGAAAAGAGGGGATCCTCTGAGTAAATCTGGTGCCCAATTCTAAGAGCAAATATGAGGCTTAATGTCCTCAAAAAGTACAATCAAGAGAAGCACCTCTGTGATAAACACCTATATAGGGAGTGTTACCCTATATTTTGCTTCCTTATGTTTGTACTTACCAGAGGGCACTGATGGAGAGTAACTGATTAATGGATGTAGACTTTTTTCTAAGGAATCAAGTTTGTATCAACGTTCCCA